CTCTGGATTGGCCTGTCAAACTATGCTGTAAGAACTTTTGGCAGCCAGAAACTGAGCAAAAATATTCACTTCATCATAGTAGATCCAAACTCATCTCGTTTGCACTTCACCCATTTGTTTTTACCTCTTAATAACATCCTGACACCCATAATGCTTTGTTTCTGTGTGCAGGTCAGTGGCTCAGCCTATGAATGGTCTGATGGAACAAAATTTGACTACCATCCCACCATCTCTGACTCCCAAGACACACCGAAAACCAACTGTATTTATATAAACCCTGCTGGAGACTGGAAAAGGACCAGCTGCAATGCTATGATCGATGGCGCCATCTGTTACACCACCAATATTACCTCTTCTAGCCAAAGTAAGACACTAACTTTCATAGAAAAAATTGGTACTACTTTGGTTAAGTAAGAAACAGAGCTTGTCTATAATCCAACAGTACTGAATGGTTTACAGTAGTGAAAACACTCAGCTTTGAATCTTTTTTGGCTTTGGGTGAAACTGTACATTGTAAAAGCAGGACATCTACCTGTGATTTAGTTCATTTTGGTTAGTCATTAACCATTGTCTATCTTCCATTCTCCGTTTTTGTAATCAGGAGCCAAACTACAAGATGTCCCAGAAACTAATCATTGCCCTCAGGTCGATGGTAAGCCCAAGTGGGTTCAGCACGAGGATCACTGTTACGCCTTTGACATGAGCTTCTACAACTACAGACTCTACAGCATGGAACAGGCCAAGGCTCTCTGCCGGGAGATGGGTGAGTTGTTGTTTTCTGTGTAAAGAAACCCAAAAAGTCGACCTGAGCCGAGAAGATATTAGTGGAAAAGAAGCTTTAGACATGGGGGGTTTGGGGGGGAAACTGTAGATGAGCACTGTTGACTTCAATTTTAATAGCACTCCAGTTTTCACACAGTCATATTTATCCTATTCATCCTTATTTATCCTTCCGAACACTGAAAGATGCTGAGACAGGGGAGCCGGCGAGTCTTCATATACCCCTATTTCCTGCACCCTGCCTGAGGCGGGGGTGGTTGGATCCCAGACCTTTGCCAGTTGATATATATGTTGACTTAACTTTGACGGTGCATTATAATAAAATATACATAAATGCATACATAATATAGAATCATAACAAAACACATGTACACACATCACAAACAGCTGTTTAAAACACAAAGTATGCCCTATTCAGGGTGAGCCTTGGCAGCATTATATTGAAATTAATGCTCAATACTGCAACGCAAAAACAAAAGTCTAACTTAATTTTAACATTTCTCACAATTTCTACTTGTGATCATAGCAAATAAATGGTTTTTAAACCTTTTTTTAAATCCAGTTTTACTGGTTTGTTGTGCTTCCTGCTTTGGTGACCCATTTCATTCCTTTGTTTTTTTCTCAATTGAATGGGCTCTTGCTGTGGGTAATCAAAATTGTCCTCCTGTGGCCTGTCTGGTAGAATATTCATGTCTATCTTCTCTGATATTTTTATACAAAATAATTTGAATTTTTTGTGTGAACTGCGGCTTCTCTTTACTGACAGATTCTCATCTACTAACCATCGAAACCAAAGACGAAAATGATTTTCTGGCCAACTACATCACTGAACACCCTCTCATCACCAGTCAAGTGTGGCTCGGCATAGATCTTGATGCTCAAGGTAAGAATCGCAATTTAAAAATAAAAGCTGGACAGTAATATGACATTAATTCATTCTTTTTTTCATTTTTGTTTGTTCTCTTAGGTAAGCCTGTATCCTCGCAGGATGGCTCCCATCTGGATTTCTCTAACTGGTCATCTACAGCCGGAACCGGGAAGAAGTCCGGGTCCCAGTGTGCTGTCATGGTGGCAGGCAATGGTGGGAACTGGAATCTGGTCCCCTGCGAGAGTAGCTACAGTCGTGTTGTTTGCAAAACGAAAGCAAGTGAGTATCACAACAGGTGTCGAGACAAACCCTAACACTTTGTGGGAATTTGTTTTGCTGCTGACTGAAGGATGAGAGCATTCCTCTGTTATTTGCATGATAAACACAGAAAGTACGGCAACTTTTTCTTCATTTTATTTTGCTGTAAAATTAATTCACACTAAAAAACCTGTAATAACAGGAGGTTTTAGTTGAAACATTTTTTGAACTTAGTTTGTGTCTAACACGCTGCCTCTTGGACTTTGGCTGATGATGTGCTAACGTTTGTTCCTCAGAGTCTGCAGGCTCCCCGGTGGCACTGGGCTTCTTCATCGTGGCCCTCATCGCTCTCATTTTAGCCCTCGGCTTTGTCATCTACAAGAAAAAACGAGCCTACTTCCCTTCTACCGTCCGCTACGAGAGGACCTTAGACGATATGGACACCACCAGTATAATTGATGCAGACTGAGCCTGCTTCAGGTTTTCAGCCTCAGGAAGTATTGATATGTCTGCCACAAGTGATTTTTTTAATGTAATCTCCCCCCTCCTCTTTTTTAAATTATTTATTTATCTTTCTCAAGCCAATTTTTTTCCGTGTGAAGTTGTAAATATTGTTTGAGATTTGTGAATATCTCCCAATCAGTTTCTTAATTTGGGTTCAGATTGTGTTTAATAAGAGCAGCACTGTATACTTAATTTTAATGTGTGGCCTTATTCTTCTTGGTCTTTTTTTAATTTTTAATTTTAATTATAAAAATGGGATTTTCAGATGCTTTACAAACATATGCAACCTGCAGCCTTAACAGCTAAAATTGCACTGATGCATGAGTGACTTCAAACATTCACAAAAGAGCTTTTAACCAATAATCTACTGTTTGACTTACGTGTGTGTGGGAGGGGGGGGGGGGGTGTCAGTATATGAATATGATTTTTAAAAGCTCAGGTCATCTGAAAATACAGTAACAACCTGTTTTCTTTCAAGCGTTTATGTATCTGGATGGATTGTATTTCAGATAACACTGCCACATCCCCTGTACTTTTGTCTTCAAGCAAAACAGGGAGACTAAGGGCTGTGGATCTTGACTCTTTTTTTTTTTTTTTTTT